ATTAAAATTTCTCCCAAACAGGGTTAAGATGATGTATTGATTATAAAAATGCTCGGCTAAGTTTTCTACACAAGGATGACGATGAAACCTTATTTTTAAAACTTTAATCTTAATTTCTTATTTTTGACACTATTTATTCAAATATTCGATTACTATTTAAACTAATTCATGACTTTTATGCCTGGATATCGAATAGGGGTAGTAGCATATATTAGCAATCATTGTAAAGTTCAATACGTGATGGAGATTTACCTCGAATATGAGAAGATAGGTTTAATTTTACCTGAGAGAAATTATTAAGCAAATTAGTAATACTGATCTAAATTCATTATATGTCCATTACAAGGATTGTGGTTAAATTGAAAAAATAAAATTATATGTGGATTTGGAATTCTAGTGCCTTCTTCTCTCTTTGATTTGGCTTTCTTTTTCATGGAAGTTGAAAATTAAATTCCACTTCCACTTTTTTACATGTTTGATTGACTAAATTTTTCGTGGAATTGGGTTTCCACATTTTCTTGATTTTTACACATTTTCCACATTTTCTTGATTTTTACATGTTTGATTGACTAAATTTTTCGTGGAATTGGGTTTCCACATTTTCTTGATTTTTAAGGAAAAAATTTTCCCATAAGTTTGGTGAGAGAAGCTTTTGTGGGCAACTTTTTTTTAATTTTTAATTTTTTTTCAATAAAAACAAATTATATCCTCAATTGTAACAAAATATATCCCACTAATGGACAATTTCAATAGAAAACAAAGTCAAACAAATACCAAAATATCTAAAATTTCAATATTTTCCATGTGAAAAATTATATCAATCAAACACAATTAATTATCAATTCCCATTAAAATAAGTTTTAGACAATTTATTTCCCTAAAATTCATTTTCTTTCCACATAATTCAATTCTTACAATCAAACGATCCCTTACATTTTTTATCCAACAATTCCCAATCTAGTTTATTTGCTTTGTCAGTAGTTGGTTTAAGACAATAAAAAATTTACCAATTTGTGACCGTACAATTAAAGTAATGTTTAATTGAGTCAAAATTAGATACACAATTTCCGTGCAATGGGACCATATTTTGTTCATCATTTTATAACTTGTCTTCAACACCAATTAATTGCGATTTTAAACAAACATACATGTCTTGCCATATTCCTAAATTAATGGCAAGAGTTAAAGAATGCATAATCGTAAATCTTGCATTAACGGGAGTAACTAGATAATCGTAAGTTTTACACTTGTCACGTGAGTAGCGGTGGCAACGAGCCGAGCCGTGCCGAGCCGAGCCCGAGCCGGGAAAAAAAAGCTCGGGCGCNAGCTTTTTTGCCACCGCTACACGTGAGTCATATCCTATCATTGCATGAGTACCACGAGAGTCACTAGATAATCTGTGACCAATTTTTTTTTTTTTTTTTCGAGATTCTATTGATTTTTGTATAATTTTCATCTTTTACGACTACCACGAGTTTAGATGGCATTGTTAAAAATTGATGGAAAATCACTTCTATCCCACCAATTAACTAAATAAATAGAAAATCATATTATCTCTATCAATCTTATCTAGTACTGCATATCAAATATATAGTTTTAAATATTACACTTCACACACGGATATTTACATTATTTATAATATTTCGGCTATTAAACTTATTCTAACTTTATCATCATAGTTGTACGAAGTCAGTCACCATCAATTTGGCAACCTAACTTTACTTTTTAATTTATTAATGAGAGATTGATATACCAAATAATTGCAGCCCTTTTTCCAGTTCTTGTGAAAAAACGTTTCACTTTTGAAATTGCCTATAATTATTAGTATAGTGATCAAGGTTTTGATTAGAGGAAAACTTGACCCAACCCGAGGCACGACGCGAAGGTATGAAAATTCTGAAACTCGACCCAAACTGTGTCGATATATACTCTTGTGAACACAATCGTGCGACTAAATTAAACATTATAGCTTCACTTCCCACCAAATCTTTCATTTTTCTTCTTCGCTCAGCTGTCTAATTTTGCCATGCTCGACTACTTATAGAGATAAATAGGGTTACTAAACGTACAATTGACATGAGAAGGAGAATTTTCAAGGTCATCATTTAACAATTCGAGCAGCATTAGCCTTGGTGTAAAATTTCATGATTTATATTGAAGTGAATAAATTTTCCAACCAGAAAAATATTTTGATACTAACTAGCAAAGAGGAAATTGGATGGAGAGAATTTACATGTCACTTGTGCACTGAGACTTGAAGTGGAAAGATTTACAAAGAAAAGGCCAAAGGGTGATTTCAAACCGACTACATGAATCCATATTCTCCATTTCATTTGAAAAAAATTACATTATAACATTTTTCATGTTACGGTACATGAAATGTGCAATTCGGTTGTACGGGTTGCTTTCATTTGAAGTGGATACAAGTTTACATCCCATTAATGTCAACCTAAACAATGAAGGATCCCTACTAGAAATTGCAACCGTCTATACCTCGACTCATTGATGCTTTCCACTCAACTTTTGAGGACCAAGGCGAACATGTTCCTCGCGTAGAATTTACTGTGGTACTAAGCCGTATGTAAGCGACTTCTTTGATTCAACATCAATTTGTTGACCCATTTTTCGTAATAGTTGCGTGGACAACAGATGTCGATCCACTCGCATTCCTACCAGCAAATTTCAACGTGTTTTGACCGAAGATTTGGACGGAAAATGATGACGTTTATGGACGTGGGAAATGCTTTACGACGAGAGACAAAAATATTCAAGTACTGACAATATGATCAAAGATGATTGCATATAAACAAACAATCATAGACAACTCAACCAAAGTAAAAAAAAAAAACTAAATTCAAGCAAATAAATATGGAATAAGTAATAAAGAAAATCTAGTGTGGTTTCAAGTGTAAAGAGTTACACTACCCTTGAAATGACATGAGTTGTGATCTTTTATAGTAGTAGAGATGAAGTGTTAGCCGTTGAATGACGAGGCACGTGGCTTCATCTCTTTATTCGAAGTGTCTCATCTTAGGCATCATATCACACATACTATGTCATGCATCATTTAATGTACTTATAAAAAGGTAGCCACTCTAGAGCTTAGGTCTAATACCTATTTAGTAGGATTACAAGACTTGACATCCTTCTGATACAACATGAGTCTTATCTATCATTCACATAAGATCTCTATGTAGAAGATTTCTTGGGAGAAGTAAATGTGAAAAATGTTCATTTAGGATTAGGAGGCTTCCACTTCGGCAATGTGGGCTTCAACCAGTTACATAGTACTTCTATTTCAGGGCTTCGACCACTTATATAACGCTTCAACTTTAAAGCTTCAACCATTTACATAGCACTTCGGCTTTAGGACTTCAGCCACTTATATAGTGCTTCGGATGAAACGATGAATCACTTCTCTATTGTTGTTTTGCAGCAGGTGGCTTCTCGCTTCGACCATGGGCTTCTACATACACATGGAACTTTGGGCGAGTTATCGATTCATCATCTTTACCTATAATTTCGGATCGATTTTTGATGATGCAAAGTGTAGGCCTTTCGTTTTGGCTTCTTTTTTGGCCTCAATTTTGAGGTGTGGGTTTCTCTCTTGAGCCTCGGTTTTGAGGCGTAACAAGTACCAATACAAATGTGGTCCTCATGTAGGATTTACAGTGATACTAAAACATATTTGAGCAATTTTTTTGACGTATGTCATAGAAATAAGAACTAGAGGATTGAAGTATCTATAACACATTTCTTTGACCTAATTTAAGTCCACCAGTGCCATTACTTTCTAGCTAGGATGTCATTAGTTCTCCAATCGTGTTTAGTAACCCATCAAACATGCCGATGTAGTTATTAAAATCGCACGTCACTTTTAGGAAGTTATTTAATCCTAAGCACCGGTACTTAGTTTATACTAAGCATTAGGTGATGTGGAACACTACAATAGGTGGTTAAATCCACTAATGACCACCCAACTTTATAATTGGTATCACCGTGGCCACCTAATTTTATTTTATTTCATAATGACCATCCAATTTCATATAATGATTTTGCATTTTATATATAT